CCCCCGCACCCCTTGTAGGCAGCTGCGCACCCCGGAGTACAACGAGCTGTTCGCCGGCGACCCCACCTGGGTGACGTGCGTCATCGGCGGCCGCGATGAGAAGGGCAAGTCCATGGTGAGCGGCAGCGCGCTGAGTATCAACTCTTTCTACTGTTGCAATGAAAGCACATTAGCGAAGCTGGGTCTCGCTGCCACAAACAGCCTGCACTTCGTTTGCTCACACTGCCATGCCCTGACTCTGCAACAAACTCCAACACGACAGGTGACTAAGACCAGCTACCGCCTGCTGCACACGCTCTACAACCTGGGCCCCGCCCCGGAGCCCAACCTGACGGTGCTCTGGAGCGACGAGCTGCCCGACCACTTCAAGCGCTTCTGCGCCAAGGTGCGGCAGGGGTCACGCAACCAAATGCACTGCTGGTCCCACCGGCTGCATGCACGGCCTTGCCTCCTTGCCAACACTGGTCTGCGCCACTCTGCACTCACAACCTTGCATCTCTTGTCGGCTTCGCTTTGTGCACCAGCCGTCGGCACACCTGCGTGACCCTGCACCTTCCGAGCACTTGCAACCTTTTCGCCGCCGCCCCAGGTGTCCCTGGACACGAGCTCTATCCAATACGAGAGCGACAACCTGATGGCACCCATGTTTGGCTCAGACTACGGTGGGAGCATAGAGGGGGTACGGATGCCGGGCTGCCTGCTGGAGGGCGCTGCAGCGAGTCGGTTGCCTCAAGAGGTCCCTGAGCACGTGCTGCTTACCGTCAACCTGAACTTCAGTGCACCCAGACCTGAGCCTCCCATCGCCCTGACCCCACCCTCCATCCAGCTCATTTCAACCCCTGCCTCCTTCCTACCCAGGCATCGCGTGCTGCGTGAGTGCCATGCGCATCGGCAAGGACATGCAGTTCTTTGGGGCGCGCACCAACATGCCCAAGATGCTGCTCTACACCATGAACGCCGGTCGCGACGAGGTCACAGGGGACCAGGTGGGGCTGTGGAGCGGGGTAGGGGATCAAGAGTGTGCCAGACAAGGGACAAACAGTGGCAGGTGCTAGCTTGGGTTTGCTGATCCAGCCCAGTCAAGAGGCTCATTTGGTATGCACTTTGCAGCCTTGCTGTTGCGGCTGCATGCGTGACCTATCAAAGTTAAGAGCCGTCGGCTCGCACCCCGCGCCGACCTTCCCTCGAACACCCAACCCAGGTGGGCCCCAAGTTCCCGCCCCTGACCAGCGGCGACGGCCCCCTGAAGTACGAGGAGGTGGTGCAGAGCCTGGACGCCGCCATGGACTGGATTGCGGGGCTGTACACCAACACCATGAACGTGAGGGGGCGGGGCGGGGTCGTGGAGATTCAGCTTGGTCAAGAGGCACATGATAGTGCCCTTGATGCCAAGGCAGCGCCTCCCTCCAATCTGATTGCGCAACGGCTCACTTTGGAAGGCATTCTGTCCCTGTCAAACCAGTCATGCTCACTGGCTGCAAATGAATTCGGCAAAAATCTCAAGCTAGGCAATGGAGGTGCCTTTTGGATTGTTGGTCTGGGCTGCATGAAACCCTTGCCCCCGATCAAACGGCAGGTCATCCACTTCATGCACGACAAGTACAACTACGAGCGCCTCCAGATGGCGCTCCACGACACCCATGTGAGGCGCCTGCTGGCGTTTGGCATCAGCGGCCTCAGTGTGACGGCCGACAGCCTGAGCGCCATCAAGTACGCCAGGGTCACGCCCGTCAGGGACGAGAGGGGCATTGCGGTCGACTTCAAGGTGTGGCGGACACAGCAGGCCGAGGGGCGTGACAAAGGGCCTTGAGAGTGAACAGGGGCCGTTGCAGCCGGCGCATCCTAATTTTGTGTCCCTTCTTCATCCGGGCGGCTGCACCTTCCGCTGTTGTGTGTTGGCAGCCACCAAAGGCCGCCTCCATTGTCGTCCCTGGAAGTGAAGACTCTCTTATGACCTGGTGTCGTATGGCCCTTACTGACTCACGCCCCAACCAGATCGAGGGCAGCTTCCCCAAGTACGGCAACGATGACGACCGCGTGGACTCCATCGCCACCTGGCTGGCGCAGCAATTCAGCAACAAGCTGGCGCAGCAGACCACCTACCGCAACAGCGTGCCCACGCTCAGCGTGCTCACCATCACATCAAACGTGGTCTACGGGTGAGGCGGGCGCGGGGCAGCCGGCTTGGTTGGGGCTGTCTAGCCGTCCACCATCGTCTCAAATGGGGGTGGATGCTGGCTTGGCAACTTCAGTGCGCTGTGCCCGTCCCGTGTTCCTGCTGGCTTCCCCTAACACCCCTCTCACCAACGCCCACCTCCTGCAGCAAGAAGACGGGCTCCACCCCTGACGGCCGCAAGAGGGGCGAGCCCTTTGCGCCTGGCGCCAACCCCCTCCACGGCCGCGACGAGCACGGCGCCCTGGCCTCCCTCAACAGCGTCGCCAAGATCCCCTACGTCTACTGCCTCGACGGCATCAGCAACACCTTCAGCCTCGTGCCACAGGTGCGGCGACAGGGTCAGGGGGGAAGGGTGCAACGGGGCATGCACCTTTGCGTGTAGTGACAAGGCGCCTTGACGCGTGATGGTGTGTGCGTGCGTGGGTGCGAGCGAGCGTGCATGCGTGCGTGCACGTGCCGTCGCTCACGCACCCACGGGCTCGTGCCCCAATATCCACACAATGAGCCTCGCCCCTGGACCCTTGTACGTGTGTCCAGATCCTGGGGCGTGGCGGCGACGCGGACCGTGCGCGCAACCTGGCGGCCGTGCTTGACGGCTACTTCCAGAAGGGCGGCCACCACATCAACGTCAACGTGAGGCGGGCGAGGGGGCACAGCACACTTGATAAGACAGAGGGCTGCGGCCCGCTTGCAGCGGTCACAAGGCAGCAGAAATACCAGAGCAGGCGCGATGGCAGCAGCACGGGTCGCGCACGGTCGTGTGTTCGCGTGTGACTGCACCGATCAGCTTGGTGGCGTTGCACGCTTCATGAAGCAGTGCGGACGTTCAAAAAAGTTGACCATACGCGCGTGTCCTGGCAGGTTCTGTCGCGTGAGATGCTGGAGGACGCCATGGAGCACCCTGAGAAGTGGGCGCAAGGGGGGTGGGGAGGTGCATGCCGCATCTGCTTGGCTCAGCCCGGGGGAGCTGCGGCCGCTGGGGCGGTGGCCCCTTGCCTCTGCCATGTGCGCGCCAACACCTGGTCCCCGGTTGCTTATGACCTGCCTCGCTTTGATGGCCCCCCCCCAGGTACCCCAACCTGACCATCCGGGTGTCAGGCTACGCAGTGCACTTTGCCAAGCTGACGCGCGAGCAGCAGAACGAGGCGAGCACGCCCTCTGGCGCAGCACGCAGCAGGACTGCGCTGCAGGGCGCGACCGCATGTGAAAGCGCCGTGAAAATTGCTGAATTCTGTAAGGCATATCATGTTTGCTGCATGTGCAAATGGCCTACACCAACCCGATGCAACACCCGCCGAAACAACACAACTCGCAGGTCATCCGCCGCACGTTCCACGAGCGCCTCACGTGAATATTCTGAGAAACCAGGTCAACTCCTGCGGCTGCGTGTGCTGCACCACGGTCTGCGGCTGCAAAGTGACAGGCTCGCTGCGGACGGCCGCCCCGGCTTTTGTGCGGCTTGCGAGTGTACTCTGGGGGCTAGCTAGCGACCAGGATTCCCAGCGTGGAGCTGGCATTGTGCCTGCGGCTTGCACACAGGTTTGATATCCCCACAAGACTTGTCCCATTTTGAGCCCTGCAAGCCCACAATGTGAGGCGGCAGCAACGGGTGCAGGTGGTAGTGCGCGCAGACATGATCACTGTGTTCCAGGCAGCCTTGTGTTCTGCAGAACCCAATCCCTCGTGTTGAGAGCCTGCTAGCGTGCAATTAGCTGCGCGCCATGCGTAAACCCAGGGTGGGGGTTTGCTACTCTGTGGGTGCGGCGCCACGCACCCCGCCCGCCTGGCGGCGACCTTTACCTTGCAGTGGCTGCTGATGTGTGGCTGGCTTGTGCACACACATACACAGCGCGCCAGCCAGCACAATTGCACGGGCCACGTCTGCACCCTTGCCGTATGCACACATTGCCTGCGGCCTGCCACCTCATACACACTGCATCAAACCGAGCAACTGACAGTCTCAAGGCCAACAATCAGCACGCCCGGTTGTCACACGGCCGCCCGGTGCGAGCTGCTATCAGCGCTGATCAGGCGCGCTCATTATTCCCGCAGTGCGGCTCCGAGTTGATGTGTGCGACACCTGTGCTCCCTTTTGGGACTCCAGCAAGTTCGAGTTTTTCCACGAACCAGAGCAGCTGCTTGATTTGCAGGGGCGTGCAGACACAGATAATGCCCAAGAGGGGCGTTGACAAGGTGACTCTGGCTAGGCGTGATGGGAAGCGGGGAAGTGGCTGGTGCTCTGAAATTCCGAGAGTCAGCGAACCTATCATACCGGCTCTGCAGCGCAATGCAAGAAAATTGGAAATGACGGACACGATGATGTGCATCAAAGCCAAGAAAGTTAATCCTCATTGTGTTGCGATTGCCTGTTGCTAAGCGTCGGAAACATGTGGGCGCGCGGTGGCGGTGGTTGCGTCTGGATGCGGCTGGTCGTCGCAACCCGCAACCACAGCCTTGCTTGTGGGTACCCAAAGATTGACCAGTGGTCGCCACAACCAGCCGCCTGTTTGCGGGGACCCTGGGTCGCCGCAACCATGCGGCGGGTTGTGGCGACCAAGGACACTGCGCCGCATATGCTGCGGCCCGTGCTCCTGACCCTTTGCTGATTAGGAAGCATGTGTATAGTGCGATTTACATGTTGAAATAAGGTACTGGCTTATCTAAGGCTAGTGCGCAGCAAAATGAAACACCACCGAGTTGCTGGTCAAGTGCATTGACAGCAGTGCACAATAAAACCTTAACAACAGACCAAGCTAAAAATACCAACGGACACGGCAACGGCTTTGCAAAATAGTTAATCGCGCAGAATGGGCGCGCCATAGGGCCCACGCGCGCTGAGCCCGCAGCAGTCTGCACGTGTGTTGACCATCACGATGGCCTCTGACGCAAGCAGGGCCATAGATTGGCACGCGGCTCCGAACAGCAGGCGGGGTCAACTAAATGATCAAAGTTACCTAGAATTTAAGTTTTGCACGTCGTCCGCGCTCCCTGATTGCTGTGGCTCGACACCTGTCTTGGTGAGTCATGACCACGACGTGCGTTGCGTCGCCATGCGACAGGCGGCTGCTGGCGCGGCGGCCTAAGACACATGATTGAGAAGACAACGGCATTAATCGAGTCGTAAATTTGCCGCAAGAAGCGCGTGACTCAGCCAAAGTATCTTGTCATAAGATCCGAGGGAAATCAGTCGAGTTTATGCTCACTTGACCCTCAAACGATCTATTATATTCTTTTGAGCACCATAGAAGCTCTCGGAGCCGACGTCACGGCCGGTCTTCCCTGTCACGGGACCCATAGACGTGTCATTTAGTCGTGGACTTGCCAGCTTCCCAGGGCCTTGCGGCTGCTTCATGGTCGTCTTCCTTCACGCGTAATTCATAAAGTTTTGTTTTGCGAACAACATACACTCACAGAACAGTTACTGAAGCAAGTGATCTACACCAACGCACATCTCTCGACACCTGGGGCACCAACAAGGTGGGCCACTGGTCCGAAACAAACAAAGGATTATCAACATTGTCCCACTAATGCGCCATACGTGTGTGAGGTGCCCTCATTGGGCCTCTCTTACCTGCTGGCGTGGCACCGCTGTGCTTTTGCAGCGTGGACTTAGGCCTGCATGTTTCACGAAAATGAGTCCAGAATACTTACAATATCTTGCGGCCCCTGTTCATTCATGAGAGGCAGCGTCCATTGATCACGCCTTCCGGAGTTTTTTCACGGCCTCGTTCCTCCGTTCACCGCTTGCCTGACGCGCTCTGTCCCCTCCACTTATACAAGGAGAAGGCATCATGGCGAGCGCCAATGGCACCACCGTCCAGAAGCGAATCTTTCCGTAAGTGGTCTTGCTGCGCAGCGTCGCGCGGGTCGACCTGGTCTGCATCGACAGACCGCCCATCCCCGACCCCGCCCACCGACCCCCCCCCCCCTCGACCAACCCACTCTCCCATCACCAGCCATGCTGTCGACCAGTGATCCTTTGCTGAACCCCCAACCCGACCCCACTTCCCGCCGACAGTTTTCTGCGCAACCAGAGCCCCGGGGACAAGACCATGAAGGCCCTGCTGGGCGGCAAGGGCGCCAACCTGTGCGAGATGGCGCGCCTGGGCGTGAACATCCCGGCCGGCTTCACCATCACCACGGAGGTCTGCCAGGAGTTCTACCGCGTCGGTGAGGGCCCATGTTCACGCTTGCTTCCCAGGGTTTTGTGCAGGTGTGCGTGTGCGCGTGCGTGTTTGTGCTCCAGCGTGCGAGCGTTTGGTGTTGCGGATTTCATGCGCGGCAGAATTCCACTGGCCAGTGTGCTGAAAAAGCAACAATTGTCAAGTTGTATGCAAATGGGCGCACATGGCACGCAGCTGCGCCTCCCCGCCTGTTCACAAGTGGCGGACATCTTTTGCGCACCCGCCAGGCGCCCCTGTCAAAAGAGGGCATCGCAGCCCTGCCCCCCTTGACCTCCCACCCCCC